CCTCCTAAGTAGTACTGTGCATGTAGTGTCATAAAAAATATTGCGAGGGATGGGCAGCGTGTCAAACCTGTAGACAAATAATTATACTGTCTTGTCGTCGCTAGGTGGCCGACGTGGCATCTTGCATAGCTGTTGAGTGACTTTTAGTGCTGATGCATCTTGCCTCGCACCGACCTTGGACTCAGTTCCTTTGATGACTGACCTGGGTGGCAGGACTGCTGGATCGACGCCCCACATGCCAACCTTTTTCACGTGAATGCTGCGAACTGCCTTGGCAGGGCAGTTGCCATGGACCATGTCATTGCCGTGTCAGAACTGACATAGTGTTAGGAGGCGAGGCTGCTGATAATCCGCTGGCCAATATAAACACGTTCCGTTTGGTGCTCAAATTTGGTCGGTGCACCCTGGTGATGATGGGAAGCATTATCAACAATCGGTCTCAGGCGTCGACTCCTATCACTCTCACTGTACATGTATTAGTAGTTCATTCAGAAGAATAATACTGAATTGGTGAGTATGGCAATGAACACCTATGTCCGACGATGAATTGGCTGACACGTTAATCATACCGTGTGGTTGGTAAGTGGAGACCGGGTCGGCATTAGCCACTGCAGGGGCGTGTGGTTTAGTTCCGTGTGGCTTTGTTCCCTGTGTCCTCGAAGCCTTTCGGTGAAAAAACGGCAACGCACTCGTGGATTGTGAATGAGTTGGTTTGCGGACAACTCGGGACTTGCGCCGACTTTGGTTTTGTAGCAAGCGACAAGTTTCTCGTACTGTGCTTGTGATTTCGAACTCTTCTGTCAGTCCGCCGTCCAAGATTCCCGAACGCCCCCAGGGACCATCCTTCGTTGCTCCATGAATAATTATTATAGGTTTTAGAGAGTGTAGAGTTTACGGGGACAACACGACTTTGCATAATCGATGGCGAGCAGATTGCATACACGCACGGCTTTCTCAGTTTCAATCCTATCTCTCACGTTTGTCCCCGGGCCCTTCGCTTGGAATCCGATTCCATGTATTTTACACGACATAACGTGCACGGTCATGGATCATGCGTGCTCCACCCATCTTATATCTACCAGATTGGTTGCTGAGTATGTCGAACCATGATTGCAGGCACTGCTATTCCAGGTGTGTCTGATATCGAAAAAGAACTGGAACATCAGCCCCATGTTTGCAGCTGTTGGCAATGAAATGTTGCGTTGGCCACGAAATGAACCTACTATGCTGGCTATTCAACCACATCACCATGATCACCTACAGTGTAATCCTACATGTATACTTAGGTTGTGATGATTCAGATCGACAGCAGATAATGGTATAGATTTACCGGTCCGTGTCCCGATCTGTTCCATTTGTCATACATCAGTGCTGTATTTGTCGACATACATCTCTGCTTGGTAGCGTGTTGCGCATAGCATCACAGACTGTCCCAGCCATAACATCCTGGCGCTTGTGTAGTCGAGCTCGGATAGGATTCAAATCATGGTGAGCAGGTAGACTCAGTGGATGCACGTGGCTCAGTACTGGTGAAAGCCGGCGGCAGTAACATGCTGGTATCATAGCATTCTCACTGCTAGAGCAGCATCCCTTGACACCAACTGGCTGCAGTCCCTGTCAAACCTCTAATCTTAGCCTGAGTAGACGCTCACAATGGTATCATAATGGTATCATAATGGTAGCTGACAGTGGACGTTAGACTGCATGTCTAACAAAAATCAACTTGCATTTGCCAATCGAACACAGCTTGCTGTTAGCTAGTCTTGTGCGAGTCCTGTTGCTTTCGATCAAGTACGCTAGCAGTTGTGGGAAGAAGGAGAAAACTCCCATTGAGTAAAATTCTAGCCAGACCCGTGGCGTTGTAGAACCATCAAAGCTCACGCTTTCCTCTTGGTGTTGTCGTGAGAGTTTCCCAAGACCTGGTTACTAACATCATGGCATAGCCATGCAACGTTAGCAGGCTCTCAGGTTCTGCGGGGCAAAGACACGGCTATTGACAGGTCGCACAAGCATGCATGGTAGTGAAAGAATGCGAGCGAAGATCTGCTGCCTGTCCGGTGCAACATGGCAAGTCATCTCACACTCCCAATGGCTGACACGTATTGGATGATCAGCTCAAGATCAGCATTCAATTCTGGGCCACAGGCCAGGCCTTGTCATACAGCTTCAACTTCATCCAAGCCCCGTGGCATGAAATGTGCAGATATATTCCTCCTGCCAGGTCTGGTACTGGGGTGGTGAAAGACGTAAACAGCGCCTTTCCGCCATATGTGCGCTCCAAGGAATGAAACTGTGTTGAAATCAGTTCCAGATTTTCCTGAAACCCGTACTGTTTGTTCACAATGTCCTGGCCTTGCCTAGCATGGGTCAGTGTGGCGCCAGTAGCATCGGTTGAATTACATCATGGTACAAAATGTAGCGAATGCAACCGACTCTCTAAAATTTTCAACAACACAATCTGCTTTTGATGTGAACTATGTTTGCCTCCATGTGGAATCAGCATCAGATCTCACATTGACTCTGTAGCCTAGACACGTAGTTAGGGTGGGGGTGAGGGATGGCTGGGGTGTACAAATATCACTGAAAAGACGCGTATCGGTAATAGCGTGCCAATTTTCTGCCGTGTCAGGGAAAGAATGGCAAAGGAATTATTGCCCAAGTTTATGACGTCATGCCATGAGTCATATCGGCGACGCCGTGACAATATCGGTTTGTGCGAAGCTAAATGACGGAGGTTGAGGTAAACAATCTCATCAGCTTGAGAATATCCACCACGGAATATTAGAAGCACTACCAACTACATGTATTTCACATTTACTCTACACCAGATTTTCATTGTGCCTATTCGTAGGACCTCCCGGGATCAGTATTAATTTCCACTTGAAATAATATTCACCAAAATGCTTCATCCTTAGCATTCTTTTATTCGCTTCCATGTAATTGGGCTTGTTGCCCGTTTGGTATTGCGAATTCAAATAAAAAGAACGACAACAACATCGGTGATCTTGTGTGCATACATCAGTATCAGAGTGTACAGCGGTGGTTTGGTGCGAGGGCGAAGAAATCCCAGTTCATTTGTGAAGCAGGTCCCTTTGCTGATTCGGCTCCTGCTCCGAAGCAGTAAAATCAAGGTCCGTGACTCGTTTTAAGAAGCATCCTCTAACTCCAACCAGCAAGATACCAAATATCTGAGTGCTCATTCCAAGAACGTACATGTACATGTAGGTGTTGTACGGTATGGTCCTTGTACTCGGATTGAACATCACTGATCACTGCAAGTACTCCTTGTACTCCCGGAGAACATCACTAATCATTGCAAGGAACATTACAATGTCTGTCGTATGGCGAGTCGTTCCCCTCCGCAAAGAGTTTATGTATCTCCGGTGGTATGCTTCCCAGTTCATCACTGCTGTGATGCAGATTAAGGCATTGACATTCTTTGCAAGGGCGACGGTTTGCCGTCAAGACCCAGGGACACTGATTTGCATGAACCACATGCAATTGCAGTGTAGCTGCGGCAAACAATTACTAATAATTATTATTATTTCCAGCCTCAAACCTCGTTTAATGGTACATTGTACAATCATCACTGTACGTAGAATCCCATGACGATGTAGTACAGTACTCAAGCTACATGTAGTACATGGTACATGCTTTGTATGCCCCCGAGGAGCCGCTCAACGTAACGAGGTGATCTCCAGCATTCTCAGCGCGGCAGGAACATGACAAATGTTGGATCTAATAATTATATTCGCCCACAAGTAAGCGAACCTGTTGGTGGTTTGTCAACCTATAGTGAGAGCTCCACTGACCTTTGACTGTGATTGAGTGCATACTTATGTGAATGTGCTGGAAGAGAATGAGCAGTCCTGTTCGTGGCCTATGTTTGAGGTGATTGATCTCCGTTACACCCGGAAAATGTGTTACATGGGCCTAGTCAGTCAGTGGACAGAAAAGAATGAAGCTATGTTTTCACTCTGATTTTCACTTAGTATATGGTTCGAATTTAGATTCCGTCAGAGCTGGTCGTGCATGTTGTCATCGTGACGACACAATCATCGAACACCAATAACCTGCGATAAAGGCCTACTATCACAACGCTTCACAAGTAGAACGATGGCAATCATTAACCTTCAGCACAGAAATTCAGAGAGGCATTCGGGAACGCATGCGAAATTAAAGGTGATGATAAAGTGATATGTGTGTGAACCTGAGAACGTTTTCCAGTGAGGATTCTAACAGTCACTGTAACATTCACGTTTCCTTCACAGAGAAGATGCTCTGGGAGCGTATGCCAAGGACAGAATGGTGATATAATCACATTGTACGCGTGAGCCTGAGAAAGTCTGCCAATTACTAATAATAACTTAATCCTGGTGCATAACGTCCTGTAGCAAACTTTCGAAGCAAGCAATCAGCAAGGTCGGTACAGAGTCGTCGGGACTAGTTTTGCAAGGAGCGCGGCTGTCACCCGTCGCTGGCTCAGTGGATATTTTACCAATGGCGACCACCTACGGCGAGGCATCGCGGCTGTTGCCACATGTTGCGTGTGGTTCGCGTCGCTGCGATGTCCGCGAGACGGATCATGCTAGGGTACCACACATTGCATGTCCCATCGAATTGCGCAGCAAATGCTCGCCAATCCTAGACTTGACAGCGCTGCGGATTACGCTCAGTCACCAACATAATTATCATGAAGACGCACGGGCTAGGAAAATCTTAGCTGTCGACTTCGTTCTGCACATCCACAAACGCCGAGCGTCCGATCATATTTTGGACAGGTAGAACGCAGCCAGAAAAATGCTGGACGTGTCCCGTCATCTCACGGTGCAGCTACGCACTTCAGATCCTCATGAATTACGGCTGACACAATCCACAGTGTGCGTAACATCGAGAAGCCCTCTGTGCTGCAAGTCCAAGTGCGCGGCACGGTATCCATCGATCGGCGAGGCCGAAGGTTGCGGACCCGCAATCCGCATAAATTCAGGGATCTTCTGCGAAATGGTCACAGAGTTTGAAATTCCAGTTCTTGGTGAACATTGAAGATCTTTAGTGCCTAGTAGTGTCTGAATGAGAGTAAGGATTGTGATTGTCTGAGCGTGAGTGTCACGCACGTTTATCCGGTTCAGTACTGAAATTGGCGTCTCTTGCTGGAGCCAAAACACAGCGCGCTCTTTGATCGCAGCGCATGCTAAATTTAGAGGTGAGAATTTTCTTGCTGTTGATTGCTGCATAAATCCGGTCGAGCATTTCAGTAGTTTTGTCTCCAGCGTGTCTTGGCGCGAGTGTTTGAACCCTGTCCGAGTGCATATGAGTGCATGTAAATTGTGCGAGACACCGCGTGACCTTTATGTGAGCACGAGGGGCGAGATCAGACTCTGGGATATACGCTAGCTTTTCCATGGCTACGGTTACGTTCATGCGGCGTGTGGGTGTTGTCCTGATTGTGTCTCGCCTTTCAAACGTTCATTGTCCGCGCCCTACTAGTCCGTGTACAGGGGCCTCGGCTGAGAAAGCTTTGAGAAGAAAATCGTCGTGCTGATTCCCAGATCCTGTGCTTCGCACCACAGATACCCTGATGTAGTTCGTACCTTTCAATTCGTGCATTAACTGCTCAAGTCTGGTTGATTGTTGCACATACCTCGCACAGCCAAAGCCTGGAGTCACTTGATGGGCACTTGGCAGAAGTGGCCTTGTTCTTGAGCTCTCTGAATTGCCCTGTTTGAATAGATGCGCACCCTGGCAAGCAGGTCAAACATAATAATTTGATGCAGGAGCTGATTTCGCATACTTGCGGGTCATAATAAATATCGAAGCTGAACAGAGTGTGTTGTCGTTGTGTAAATGTGCACTTTTTCTGTGTTATCCAGCCGGGAGCTACGTCTCGCGTTCAGTGGTCAGTGCAGAATAGCAGCTGTGAAGAGGCCATCGCCCCTTGCTGCAATCGAGTTGTGATTTGACAACTCCGGACGTCTCAGCCAGCCAGCACACGTCAATCGAGTGAAGACAGCTGGATACTGATATCTTGCGCGCTACTGCCAAGTGTTCGTCAGTGTGGTATCCTCGCTTGTACAGTGCAGTTGACTAGAATATTGACTCTCCGGGAAAGATCGAATCGCAATGGCGACTTCAGGATTTACGACGATGCTACTCGTTAGCTTGTTGATGGCGGTGGCGTCTGCTCTACCAACTAGCCAATCAACGATAACAGAGAGATTATTTGAGACGGATAGAACAGCAATTCCGTCAACGACTCAAGACTCACTAGCGTCTCAATCAACGGCTGTGGAGTCAGCAGCAACAACAGACGACGTTGTACAGGACACCAGCCACAGCACGTCAGCGCCAGACGTTCCAGCAACCACCGAGATGTCACTGGAGAGACGGTGCGAGGACGCGCTGCTGCCGTGGACACCCTGGACCACCAAGGCGGAAAACATCGTGTCGGATCACTGCGGAGTAAGACGGCGCAATCGCAGGTTCCGCAAGACTATCGATGCAAACTTGGAGAGGAGCTGTGTGGATACCCTGGAGATCGAGCTGACCGAATACAAAGAGGAATGTAAGTATCTATTGTCATTAGACATCACTCGTTGTATTCGTTTTAGATGTTTCATTCTCCTTCATAGATGCGTAACACTAGAAAGACGTAACGTAACAATAATATCAGTGGCTCAGATTTAGTGAGAGTAGAGGTCATTCATTTTAGTTTGCTTTCTTAGTTACTCGACATCAGTTGATGCCAACGGTTCATGCCAATTGCTAGCATGCTGCCCAAGAATATTCTGTGAAAAGGCGGCAGAAAAAAAGTTGTGGGCAGGAATAAAGGTATGTTATGGGAGGTCGCAGTAGCTCGAATCTCCTGAGATCAGTTATCCAACGTCTAAAGCGTGATTAATTCAGACTGAGCATGATCGCTCTCGAAATCCGATCTAATTTTATTCTAGGGGCACACGCGTTCACAAACTAGTCAGTCGATAGTCCTCCTGGATTGCAAGACAGTCGATTCATCAGCGCATTTATTGCGGCAATCAAGATGGTTGCCAATATGATACTGGGCCAACTCCCATTACCTTTCAAGCGCTACAAGTCTGGCCATACACTCTGCTGGCTCTGTCAATAATTGTACCTAAATGAGACAAGTTTATACCGTAAAACGCCTGTGTGTCGAATAGGTGGCTGGAAGAAAGCCTTCAGTGTCGTTGCTCCAGACGTGTGGTAGTTGCTCTCAGAATACTGCATGTGAGCTTGCAAATCATCGTGTCATTCAGAATGCATGTGCTCTAAGGGTGATAGCATCTCGACGATAATCTATTCCAGCACTTGCAACGCCCAATAATATTGGGCTCCAGGAGAGTGAAAACCTTTGTTGGAAACAGACTGTCACACCACTGGGAGTCATTGCAACACTTCAAGGCTATCAATAATGAGCATAGGCTGGCAGGATACTCAGTTTCCAAGCTGGGAAGTAGTTGATTGTGACCTGTCTTGCTCGGGTTTCACAGCATGAAAACCCTTGAAGCGTGTCAACCCAGTCGCGATTGGGTTCAGAATATTACCCCAACCAGTTGGCCTGTCGCAGTGGGGAGAATGCTCTCCGGCGTAGTGTGGCTCGCAAGCAGACCTGATAAGGTCAGTGTTGAGCGTGTTGCTCACCCACAGGCTCTACACACACCAAGCGCAGCAGCTGGTGATTTCCATACAAAGAAGAGCTGATCAATTGAGGGACCCAGCCTATCTCAACGACTGCATAAGGTTTAGATTTCAAACCACGAGGCGATAAAGTTTCGAAATAGGATACTTGAAAATAAGGCAGCAAGTACAGTTTGTCTTGATAACCGTTGCCCACAGAAACAGAAAACATCAGTGGTTTGGTGGATGCCACACAACCAAGTTGAACGTATGGAACATAGCTCAGAACTCCATGTGACGTTAGAACCAGGAATAGCTCCCTATGTTTGCATCCTGGGGCATTCTAAAGCAGCTGTTACATGTTGCCTGTGGCTTTCAGAGCTGCGAACAGGGGAGGTTTGATCAGTGGTATTAACTTAACAACGCCATGATCACCCACAATACCCCTCTGGGTCATGCCCGCAAATTGATTACTAATAGCCACTGAGAGTTAGGGAAGAGGCAAAACAGGCCCTATCCGTGTGTTGCATACTACGTGATCTAGCCAGCGCTAAACTGATGAGCATCTCGTCTATATGCGGATGGAATCACTTGTAGTATGCTTTTCAAGATGTGACGTGGAAGCAAGTACCATCTGGAACCGCATCAGGAACCTGCACCAAGATGAGCGCTAGTACTAGTAGTAGCAGATAACAGATTTTAAAAGTGGCCCTGAAGCAGGAAAAGGAGCTGATAGTGTATACAACCATACCGGTATTAATAGAACAGATTTAGTGCGTTTTGCTCCCTCACTACTTCAGTGCGTCCTGTGAGTTGAGCTATGCCCATGATCCTGCAGTGCACTAGGCAGCATTGCCTGTAGGGTAGAACTCAGGAGAGCACTCTTAGTACAATCACTTGTCACAAATGTTCCCGCACATGTACACACATATCCATGGGCACAGGTGGATCAGCGCTACTCGCAGGGGGACAGTTCGACAAGAGGGACGGCCTTGAGGCACGTGACAGCCTATTGCCAGTCAGAATTCCCATATATGGGCCTGCAACGACTGATGTTGTCAATGTGCAAGAAAGTTGTTAGTTTGGGGCGGGCTGGGCTGGAATTTATTGACATCTCTTTTGGCAAAAATCGAGAGCTCACAGCCTATTCTCGGGTAGTTCTGGATTGCCATGAACAGAGAATTGGGAGGAAATTGCAGAAGTTGTGAATGCTTTTGCGGCTAGGGACACTATCTTGGCCAGTTTAATGTGACCGACTCAGAGAACCTAACCTAATTTAGCCAGGTTTAATAGGTCCAAGAACGTGTGTGGTTGAAAGGAATGTCGTAGAGAGGAGGGCTGTGTGTGCCGGAATAGAGAAACGTGGTCAAGGTCAAAGTTGAGAACAGAGAAAGAGCTGGCACCCTCCAGCAGGTCTGCCTCTGAGGGGAGAGCTCCTGCTTGCATGGACTGTAATTATTGTAACACTGGTGTGCAGGACAAACTAAAATCGTTCGCAGTGTTTGCTTTCCTCTCAAGGCAAGCATGTCTGTGTCGAGTAGATGTAGGGAGTTCTCTAAATTCGCGCAGTGAAATGGCATATCTAAGTGGCTCTGTTGAGTCCATTGAAACAGTTTAACTGGTCACTTCACTAGAATGACACACACACACCAAACCTCTATGCATAGTGTTGCATTTGGTGATGCCAGTGAAGACAAAAATATGTGCAATGTGCACCTCGGAATCCTGATCTTGATGATGCTGCAGTGCCCTCTTGAGTTTATGTGTCGTGTGTCCCTGGCTCTAGTGGTCTAGTAGTACACATTCTTATCCGAGGGGGGAAGCAATTTGCTGCAGCAATTACCCGTACCATACAGGTGTTCAGCGTAATTGGCTTTGCATAATGAGTCTGTTGACAAGCAGCCATCCAAACAGAGCTGCACCCTGCGTAGTATGCTGCAAGCAGTGCTTATTGTCCATGCTAACTCTGTTCATTTCAGACAATGAGGATATCCTGTACGCCCTGCGCAAGTGTTGGGACATGTCAAGAATAGGCTACGTTCGAATTTCAACCAGAAAGCACTCAGAAAATGGCCATTTTATTAGCTTGACAGGGAACCTTACAATTCTGAAAAGGAGTAGTGAGCCCCACTAACTATAAATGTCAGTATACATGATCGAACATAGTTTTCGAATCACACCTGCGAGGTTATTAACAAGCATGCTCAACTTTCATTAATTGGTCCACACCAGGCCCAAGAAAGACCGATAAATGGCCCCTTGAAAACAAGGATCACTGCCCTCAGGTATCTAGCCGTGTTACAGATGATTCAGCCAAGGCGATCCTAAGGCCCTGAAGCCTTCATGAACACGTGCATAATTTTATTATGGTAGTATTCAGGCCACATGGTGGATTCACGCAGGGCACAAGTCACATCCTGTAATACCACTTATGCTTCCAGAAACAGTGTTACGCTTCTAGACTTCTATTCACCAACTGTTCCTCACATCCAGAACAAAAGAATGTATACATAGCTGAAGGTTTACCATGAATTTAACTTGGTGGTGCATTCGCCTGGAGACGTTAATATTCATCAGCAATAATCGTGTGGTTTCTGAGGAAAACAGCAGGAATTTTTGCGGCCAGTAATCTTGTTGGATCACTGATCATTGTTGTGGGTAGGATGCTTAAAGATCTGGTGTCACGTGGTCTATGCAGTACGGCAGATACTCATCCTGAAATCGTATATGCGGCAATGGCAAATGACGCGACACCTGAGTAGGGTGTAACACCATTGTGACCTGTGGTTTGGCCTGGTGAAGACAGAGGTGGTCAAAAGTGATGTTGCCTTACGTACCTAGTGGTGTCTATGTTTGTGGTGATGTTAGAAAGTTGATCCCTGACAAAGAGCAACTGGTCAGGACCACATTTACCTCTTCTGAAAAGACATGAAAAGTGGTAACAGGAGATCGTGACTGGTATAATGGAGTAACACTTGTTACTGGTTCCAAAGTCACCCAACACCTCACCACAGAAATGAGTGGGTAGAGAGACAGCTTGAAGCTTAGCTAGTTCCGTTTCCCTCCAGAAGCTCCACGTGTGATGGTATCCAAAGCAAATCTCACATCGTTGTACATGCCTGCTTGGAATATTACCTGTCAGGGTAGAATCCTTTGTACCTCACCTCCGCCCCCAAGAACAATTTCCAGCGAGGAGAACATAAAACTAAGTGTGCTGAGTCAACATCACGCTGAAATGCCTCTTCAGCTCATAAAATTACGACTTGATGGGACATTCCAGTCTGCTAGTAGCAATACCCCGAGGGCAATATTATTGAGCAGGCAGGAACGAGTGCTGATAGGGCCGTGGGGTATAAACAATCAATGAATAGGGTCCATCAGTTGTACCTGGTGCTCTGCCCTGTGTTCCCTTGGTGAACATGTCACGCTTTTGGTTGTGAATATCAAGGGCGAACTATGTCACGCACTGTCTAGGATTGTTCAATCCCGTTAGACTAAACAACACGGACACAAGGACAATGCTCTGTGAAAGTATGTCTTGTAGACGATACTATAGCTGACTGGTCCAGTCCAAATCCTAGGGTCTGATCTACATAATAATGAGCTATGTGTCAAACCACTAGCCAGTAATTATTACAACTAATCGCTTGAAGTAGGCTTGAAGTTGATTAAAGGGAAGCTACTGGGCCATGGTGCACACACCATCAGACTTGGGCGACATCACAAACCTTTGGAGGTGGCTATTGTCCAGACATTGATAGTGTTCCCATTGTCCACACCTAGTACGAAAATAGACTACGCACCCGAAATTTGCGCTTGGCTGTAGAGCAAGTGTCTAGTTTTCGATTTATACCTTCACTTGGTTCATTGATGTTTGATTATTCGTTGTGATTTTAATGCCCGGCGGCCACAATTCTTGACACTGTCCTTTTTTGTATTTTATTCTCTGTCCTATGCAGGCAAAGTGCTAAGTCGCAATGAAAATGTCGAGGTCATCCAGTACTACTTTGTCAACGAAGTATTCGGCAACAACCGCCTTGCGCTGGAGGAGGAACTGTCCGGCGGCCGAAAGAAGCGATTCCTCGACTTCGACCCACTGGAGCCAATCAACCCCGATATCTTCGGACCATGCTTCTGGGACATGACGCATCGTCCGGTAGATTTCCTCATCATGCTGGACAAGTCCGGCAGCATGATCTACAAGGACTTCCGCCTGCTCCTGAGAGCCATGAAGTTCCTGGTGGAGAAGGGCATCCCCGAGGTCTCACAGGACGCAACACGCGTAGCCATGATGACATTCGCCAACCACCCGACGACGGAGTTCGACTTCAACACCTGCAACAACAAGTCGTGCGTCGTGAAGCAGACATACCAGTCGACATTCGAAGGAGGCCTGACGCGCATGGCCGCTGCACTTAACCACGCCAACAGTATGTTCCAGGAGTCGCGGGGCATGCGGCCTTGCAGTCGTCGAGTGGTGCTGATGCTGACGGATGGCTCCTCGTCCGACTACGACAATGCCAGTCCAGTGGAGGCGGCTGACAACCTCAAGCAGAACAAGGACGTAGAGATCTTCGTCGTTGGCATTACGACGCTGATCAATGAAATGCAGCTGCAGAGTATAGTCACGTACCCAGTTCTCACCCATCTCTACTACATGCCCGACGTACGGCAGACACGGAGAGTCTTCAAGAAGATCAAGGAGGCCAAACCCACGGAAGTTTGAAGCCCCGCACCTCCATCCAATGCAACACTACCAGCGTACGCAGCACACTGAACACTTTCCCCAATCCCACTCCGCACACATCGGGCAGCGCCCAGCCATTATCCCCTAATCAAAAACATCACCACCACCGCAGATTGCCACCTGAGAATTTCAATTATATTCTGCACGTTCTTGCAAAATTCATCTTGGTCGTAAGGGAAGCTTGAGAGTAGTTCTGCATTCACCTTATACTTATGATATGCCAACAATCGTATCTGCTCAGTCTATATCGTAATTGCCCACATTGAAAACAGTAATGAAGTACTAGCTATCGTAAAAGCTGATTTCAGATCAATCCCAGTCATTTTAGCCGACCTTGAATAGTCTAATGATGATGTAATGTATTATGACGTCATAACGAATAGCTTGTAATGCCTTTGTTTGCATCCGACTCTGTTATGCCGTAATCCTTTAAAAACACTAATTGCCCTGCTCCAATGTTTTCTATTTTTGAGCAGGATAAAACACTGCCAGCGTTGCCCAGCACCACCCCGGTTGCACAACGCCGCCTTAGCCTGGCATGGCACAGTAAATTCTAATCTAATCCCGGATATATCTTACACACTATCACAACCGTTCTTGGTGGAAAGTAACGTTCAACCGTACTTCTGTCTGAAGTGGATGTAGCTGTGGACTCTGCTGGAGATTTTAATATCCAGAAAATTATCAACAATGGAATTCCCACCTATGACTGGCAATGAAATTTGAATACCTGATGAGAGGAAGCGAAGGGCAAAGAAAATTGCTTTAAATTATCACCAAGAGTACACAAACCCCGACCGCTGATACTCATACAGTGCTGGCAACTGAAGTCCGACCCCCTGGGCGGTGCGCCGCGCCGTCCAGGGGGTCGGAATTCAGTTGCCAGCACCGTATTTCAAGTAGTACTTCAAGTAGACGTTCTGCAGCAGGTTTTGGCGGATAATGATTGGGAATTTGGCATACAGAGGCAGTGCGTATGGGAAGTTCATCCTAAAAGGTAAACTTTACAACCTGTTGAGCAAAATGCAGGGATTTCCAGTGGTGAAAATCCCAAGTTGATCGGAGAAGCCGTTAGCAAGTTATACATGTACACGCTTGAAGTGGGCACTACATTTGGTAACACCATGATGACGTCATCAACTTGCCCAGACTAGACTAGGCCAGATTTATGACGTCAGGGAAATAGACTTTGTATGGGAGTAGATGGGGAAATTTCACCATTTTGGCTCTCCATTGTCCCAAAGAAGTCGAAAGGAGTAACAATGATTCCGAGACCTTTGGTCGGAGGAGTTACTTTTGCCCCGCCCCACTTCCATCCAATATGCCACCGCCCCCGCTGTGCAGCATCTGATGGTACTGTGGTATTCAGTAAAAAAAAAAAAAAAAAAAAAAAAATCTTTTTCAAACTTCAATATGGGACTTATGGCACCCTACCGGTATACCGACTCGAAATTCATTGTTGCAGAGAAACAAGAAAGAAATTGGTTTTTCCCCTTTTATCCGTCACGGGCTACTCAGTTTGCATCGAATTGGGCATAGCGCATTGATGTTATTAATTTTATAGACAGTAAAGAACGGCTATACTCGTCTGTAGCAAGTATTTGCCTTTCACCGAGTCACAAGCACACCAGCAGCTTCCAGACTAAGTTCCTCACCTCCATTTTCCTTTCTTTTTCGCCATGCGGCAGGTCGAGTGGTATCGGCTGTCGGATACACACTACAATGCAGAGAGGTTCCAGGCTGTGCAAGAGAGTGCTTAATACCGAGAGGCAGAGCACTACACGTAGACAGTGCTCTATGGAGACTGAAGTCGAGTCATAATAATAGATGTTCTTACCACCTTCAGAGGAGCTTCTCTGCTCTCCACCAAAAATTGAACCGTTCGTCTTTTGGCTTCACATATACATGTACATGTACATGTACTTGCGTGCACGAGTTGGAGGTGCAGAACGGCTGTCAGATTTGAATGTCAAAACTTCACAAACCAATACAATCTGTAATTATGTGTAATAATTGGCTGTCAACACTCAAAGCTGGAGTGCTAGGCTTTCCATTCATCTGTTCAGTTAAAAAGTTCGTTTTCCGGGAAGTGTGAAGCGCGACCTTGCTTTTGAAATACAGTGAAACCTGTAACTAAAGACCACCGTGACTAGCGACCACCGTGACTAGCGACCAGCCTGGTACTAAAGACCACCGTGACTAGCGACCAGCCTGATACCACAGACCACTTGGCCAGGCATGGACGGTCGCGCATTCATGTATGGCTGTGCGGTGCAAACCTCTAACTAAGAACCACCTGCCACTAAAGATCGCTTTCTCTGGCCCCAAGGGGTGATCGTTATTCACAGGTTTTTCTGTAATGTTCTTTTTCCATTACGGCAGTTTCAAAGTAAAAGGCAGCGATGTTTGATGAATTACTTTCGCCCATGGCTCCTGATTACAAATTATTGATGTGGACGAACTCCAGGTCATACTCTCCTCTCTTCCACATCCATCGGGTATGTCCTCTCTTCACCATGACTTTATCACACAAGTCGAGTTAGCCAAGGCCAGTGATCCAGTTTTTAAACCAACTAATGTTACATTGCATACCCTTATTCAGCGACAATAATATACATGTATATTGCTTGGTGCTGAACACTGGAACCATCCCTGAACAACTGCATACTTTAGCCCCTGTAAAGAGACCTTATGGTTGGATGGCAATGCCCTAGTTCAGTGAAATACCATGCATTGAAGCCACTTCAATGTCGGAAAAAACACTGTATACTTGTACCCTCCTAAAGAGACTTTATGATTGGATGTCAACACCCTAGTTCCATAAAAATTACAATTGAAAGCAATTTAACCCAATGTTCTCCATCTCTACCCCTTCCAGTGTTTATAGAGATTACGATAGCACACCTAGGAACGTCTCGTGTGCCTTTCCTCAAGAATAGATGATCGGTACTATCAACAATCATTAGCTGATGTTAATGCGATTAATAGTATAAGTGAAGCGGACATTACAAAATGATGAATGAGAATACATGTATCTAAAATGGTTGTTCCTAATCGATTTTCTTGAGACTATCATCAGGGAAAATCGTCTCACAATAGAGGCTATACGGAGAAACAAACTACTTATAGGTTATCGGATAGTGGGAAGTATACAAGGTGAGGTGTGAAAAAAACTAAAGTGGGAGAGAAGACGAGAGAAATTAGAAGAAAAGATGTGAGAGTGTTCTGACGGTGTGAGCTACTACAAAAGGTGAGTGAAATGAAGGCGTGGAAGCAGGTGAATGTGATAGAGTGAGGAACTGTGAGGTGTAGGTGTATGCGAATGAATACGTGTGTGAATGCTAGGTGAAGAGTCTCAGTTTTGTGACATTTTCTTTCTGAATGCATAGATTAGGATTGTGTTTACGGATGAAAACAGCTTCTAATACCTTAAGTTCACGAAACCTACGAGCACGACACAAAACAGTGAAGCATGAATCATCATACACTGAGCGGCATTGGCTACTAGACAAGAGGTGTTTCTTAATGGCTGACCCTTTCGTTGTGGTCTCACCTTCAGTCCGGTCATCTTCATCTTGGTTGTCCAACTCACTCTCTTCATCACCGCTCTCACCTTCCTCATCCTCCTCCGCTTCCATCCCGTCCTCTGCACCCAACGACAATCCCACGCTACTGCTCGCTGCCAGTCCATGTCCGGTTGTAGATGCTATTACCAGCGCACGAGTCATGCTCCTAGTTACTGGTCTCCGTTACTGGTCGCCAATGCCGCTCAGTGTATGATGATTCATGCTTCACTGTTTTGTGTCGTGCTCGTAGGTTTCGTGAACTTAAGGTATTAGAAGCTGTTTTCATCCGTAAACACAATCCTAATCTATGCATTCAGAAAGAAAATGTCACAAAACTGAGACTCTTCACCTAGCATTCACACACGTATTCATTCGCATACACCTACACCTCACAGTTCCTCACTCTATCACATTCACCTGCTTCCACGCCTTCATTTCACTTACCTTTTGTAGTAGCTCACACCGTCAGAACACTCTCACATCTTTTCTTCTAATTTCTCTCGTCTTCTCTCCCACTTTAGTTTTTTTCACACCTCACCTTGTATACTTCCCACTATCCGATAACCTATAAGTAGTTTGTTTCTCCGTATAGCCTCTATTGTGAGACGATTTTCCCTGATGATAGTCTCAAGAAAATCGATTAGGAACAACCATTTTAGATACATGTATTCTCATTCATCATTTTGTAATGTCCGCTTCACTTATACTATTAATCGCATTAATAAAGTTGTTGTCTCCTCGTCGCCTTTTCATTAGCTGATGTACTGACGAAACCCGTGCATACCAGGTATTTGGTCGCACAGATACCGGTAGTTGTTATGAATACAGAACAACTAGAACTTCACAGCTAGGGCTTATGCGACATTCTGGCTCCCATGCATCATCTAGTATAGAGATGATGACGGAATCTATTGTCTCGCAAAGACGAATCAATATTAAAGAAGCCCCTTTGAGAAACTGGTAGCTAAAGTAGCGAAAAGTAGATCGTTGGTGGCAACGCGCACCCCCTCACACACGTATAATTATATGACTGATTGTGTAAACGCTTTGAGGACTACCACGAATGGCCTGGATTCCAACAGGGTACGCATATAGACGCGCTACAGTCGCAGCATCCAATTTCACTCGCCAGCTTTGGAATTTCTTCCTCTTGGTCTCTTTGGAAAGCTACAGTCCTCCTCGTTCCAATTATTGCGACTTGATAGTCAAGAGGAGCAACACAATTACATTCATGTATTTAGAGAGCTGCCTTATTGCGCCTGAGCGGTATACTGTACCCACATTCACACACACACACGCGCGCGCGAACACACACACACACAAATTTCATCGGTTCTAAAATTTTACTCAACATAGAACAGTGATTCAAAGTTCTGCAGATATCTTTAACAGCTCAAGCGTCTCATTTGTTCCCCACTACACAGATACACATACACCGTGTACCATGTATACGCCCGTCGCAAGAGAAGCACGCAAATCTGAAAATGCCCTGGATATGCACCCACAGATTTTCTCTTATAGCCACGACAGCGGACAAGATCTGAATGAGGCGGATCAAGATTAGCGCCAGATAACTGTCCAGTCCACACAACCTGCGAAAACATGTGAATCGACCACCAATGCACACCTGGTCTACACCACACGGAGTACATTGGCATAAACCGGCCAAGACAGTTCTATGCATCTATGCACACCCTACACTTGCTGGGGTAACCCGTATAGACAGCACGCTGCTTTGATAGAAGCAGACACTAGATGCACTGGTACCTTGAAGTGAAATTTGAGTTACTTTACCAACCAGCTTCGGCTACTGCGTACTGGGAACCCAGAGCCAACAGACATACCAACAACCTCAGCCGTGAAAGCATTATAGCAATGACACACTGGATCGTGGAGCCGAAACTAGTCCAACTTCCAAATGCTTTGGCAAGAAGGTAGCCTTCCGACAAGTTGCATACACATACACACAGACACACACCGCCTTGGAGGTACATGTATGTCGATATAAACACGCCAGCTCAGGAAGGTAGATGCGCACAAAGCCTTGCTAGGTAATGTATACGAGGCTTTGGGAAATAGCACCGTCGACAGAATCGGCGACAGAAGACAGGCAATTTACCGCATTCCTTACCCCGTTGATTACACAACCCAAAACAATAATTTCCCATTGAGTGCCTGCATCACACCCTATAGGATTTCCATCATTGAGAATTTAAATTCCCTACCGAACACATCACCCTTACCGCAACAGTGGAAAAGTCAGTAGTGTTTTCAGCGAAACAATTAATTTCTTATCCCATTTCGATCATGAGCGTATTTATTGACAATCATCGATTGGCTTTTCCGTGTTTGATAATAGCACAAGATTGTCACATGACACTCCGTCAGCTGATGCATGACTACGATAGACGCTCAGTCTAGAAACTTTGAATGCCTCCTTTGCGCACGATCTAGTCGTGTACAATGCGTGCATACATGTAGGTACACCTGAGGCGATTGAAAATGACGTTATGCCTCTAACAACTAACGTTACTTCGATTGTACGCTAAGGCCGTTCACGGACATGTGGTGACAGGCATGTTGTGCGATGGTCGTTAGGGGACACGGGTCTGACTTTTGCGATATCGCGCGTGCCGATGCATATCAGATGAGTTAAGCAATAAGTGTAGAAACTTGGACTTTACACGTCACCCGGAAAATGGTGGCTTCACCAAATTATCACCTGTCTTGGACTGCAGTCCGGCAAGCGCGAGGTAACCGTATAAATGCGGTGCACTGGCCGTGCCAGTCCTCAGTTGCTAAATTCATTTTCAAACTAGCATGGAGTGATCACTGAGGAAGATACTCCTCCATGGAGGTGATTTGTCACGAGAAGGAGATTGATGGACTCGACGCTAGCGAATGTGATATGCCCAGTTCTCGAAAGGTACCTTCTAACACTTGGATGATTGCAGACAAGGATTGGTGAAGCCAGGTTGACGCATAGGGATCCCGGTGCAACTATTGTTGAAACAGTGGGATCGGTACCCGATCCACTGTTCTTTTCGATATGGCGAGTTGTATAACGACACGGGAAGGAATGTCCGGAGATGAACACATCTCCTGTTACTGGGAGACCCTGCACATGCAGGGAAAGCTCCTTATTGAGGAGTTCTCAGTCAAGATATTCGGGGATGACAACTGGAGGAAGGGCGTCTTTGGAACCACCGACATGTTTGCTAAAATCCGCTGCAAATTCCGCGTAGATCAATTGCCAGCTGGTGCACCTATCGAGGTTGGGTTTGCCATCTCGCCTTTCACCGAGAGTGCAGTCACGCAACGCCAACTAAGTGACGCGAACCTTCAACAGGACACCCAATACCTTCGCTCTTCGCTACTTGCTAAAACGTCACCCATCTCAGAAGTTTCGTCGGGTAAACGCTGCAAGAAAATGAAGATCACTGTACGCCTGTCCGAACTTGTGAAACGAGTTGAAGCCGAGAAATCCTCCAAGAATGGTGTCATCGGAGCCCCGGCTGGACGAGATACTACTGTGTTTGAAGGAGGTCGTCAAGACGGACATTTCGTAGACATTCCACTTAAGCTGTGGTTGTTCGTAATGGACAGGGAGAAAGGCTGCATTATATCAACTCCCTTGCTCGCTCAATGGAATAGTCAAGTGTACGTACTACGTGATGCGGCTGGTATGGGAGAAAAGGTCAGGTTTCAACATTGCCGTCATAACCGTCTTCGCATCCAATATCCGCATCGAATTCCTGAACAGGATATGCTTCTGCTACCACCGGTAAGTAGCAAAGTTTCCACATCATCTGCGGACAAGGATGAACCATCCTCGTTCAGTGGCGACAAGAAGCATACGTCCGCTCCCGGGCCGGTACCACGGGTCAGACAGTACTTGGAAAAGTTAGCACGGCCTTGTTTTCAATTGCGAGGCATTCTCGGCTGATGACGGGCAGAGCACTACTTTGTTTGAAGTAGCGAGTAATGTACAGCATGCCTCTACCCTTGTTGTTGACAGTGTGACAGTGTGTGCAACTACATAGCCACAATAGTTTATACTATCTGCTGCCTGCGTCTGAGCAAAATCCTGTTTAGGATTTGTATCAGACATAATTTTCTACCCCTTCTCTAATTCCTGTGGATATTTTGCACTTCGGAGACATGGGATACGACTGCCAGCCCCTTAGCTGATTTGATGCTAAGCTGGCTATTTCAGGCTTTTCAGGAACATCCTGAACATCATTATCATCATCACCAACATCATCATTATCATTTTCAAGAAATTGACATCCATCATTTCGCCAACACCATTATGCCCTCATCTGTGGCAACATTTCAGTCGTTTGACATGATTTCTACTATTGTTGTTTTTACGTCATGTTATTTTCTATCGCAGTTGCTGAAGTCATCGAATAGTAAAACTGGGTAGCACTGTCCGCTTGATATCAAAGTTAGACAAAAAATACACTACAACAATGTACTGATTTGTTGCAGCGAATAGTGCCATTAGACCTGTAGTATCATTTATTGGAACATTATTAACACATAAAGTTGACTCTAAGTTCGTATTATTTTACACGTTTTCATAGAATTGTAATATATTCTGTTGTAACTAACTATGATTTCCAGAGGATTTGGGCAAATAGGTGAAATCCATTTATGACAGTGATGCGGGTGCCAAAAATAAAACGCATATTTAGGGAGGTGCACTTGAAATTATGCATTAATGTTTTGAGCGCAATGGGAATTGAAAGGCCGAGATTCATGATGTTATGCATGGCAAGACAGAGGCGAACGATCATTGGTGTGATAATGGAATGGATGGGGACTTAGTCCCATCTGCCTGCGGCCAACTACCGTTCACTTTGTTTTTTTGTCGCTATTGCTGTCTATGTCTCTGTGTGTGCCAGTTTATGTGGAGCGAGAATACAATATCTATACTTGAAAGTTGTTACAGACAAAGCCACATGTAAATGTATGTGTGTGTGTTTTTTATGTGTATGTGCGTGTGTGTGTCCATGCGTGTGTTCATTGTACATGATTATGTGTGTGCGTAAGCGTTTGTGCACATGTGTGTATACATAATAATGTTATTTTAAGTGTGTTTATATATGCGTATGTGTTTGTGTATGAGGATTCACGTTCGCATGGAGAGTGTGTGCGTCTGTGTGTGCGTCTGTGTGTGTGTGTGCGTGCGTGTGTGCGTGTGTGCCTTCTTTTCACACATATAACTTCAATTTCGATTTGTAGGTCCACACTTCCGGCCTGAGCATTAAAGATAATGGGCAATCATTGACATCTTCCGTGAAGTAAGAAATATTATTATGAAGGAAGATCATTTTCCTTCTTGTGGCATTTTTGCACCAAATCTATCATCAGAGCTGCAGAAACTTTCTACACAAGAAGGTGGCTACCTGTGCGTAGACTCTGCGTCAGATCACCAGGTGACAGATTTCACGGAGGCTGTATGCGCTGCACCAAGTCGCTGTCACACACGCGTGCAGTATGTGCTGAAATGAATGAAGTCGGCAGTGGAGATTGTGCAGTCACGTAGAGTGATGGTCTTCACGCTTTTTTACTACTCCGACTACAATGATTATTGTAAGCTTCTCAACCTCATTTTTTCCACTTCATTCCTCACAGCGACTGCCGTAGTAAATCATTACAATAATTTGGTGTTTCATTGCTTTTGTTGGCCATTTTGGTCGCCAGCTTTGCAAATGCCTTGCTTGGCACGAAGTGAGAAGCCATGGCTGTTTCATGTTTGCATGCAGCATAGTAGTCGTCAAGACTACTAGTAGACGTTGCTTCGGAAAAGCAGGAGATCAGCTCACAGGTGAAAATGGCGCTCAATGCCACCTGGTATTTCGGTTGAATTCGCAAAAGGCGAAAGGTGAGTGCGACACATTTGGGATAAGTGGGGTAAGTATTGTAAACGGCGACAGCGTTCTGGACGTTTACGGTATGCTAAACGCTAGCGTTGGAGGCGTCAATAGGGAGAACGAAAAGGAGGGCAAAAATATTCGAAATGAAGACATGCTTGAAAATTGTTTGGGGGTTGGAGGAATGAATTTGTAACTCTTTCTTCAGAACATTTCAGTGCACTCGTATGCGAACAGTCAGAATGACTGGTCGCTCCCTTGTTTCCCTTTCATTCCTGAAATTATTTCAACACGCACACAAAGACTGTTTCAAAATGCTGGCTTTGAGCGCACATGCAGGTGTCGAGTGGTAGCCTTGTGATGTATTGTAGGTATTTCCTGAGCTTACTCTGGAAATCTGTAATATTTTTCCATTGTCATGACACTCAAACTGCACTAAAACCGCCTTTGCATGGACAATTTCAGGGCTCACCACGACCTTACAAAGTGTCAATAACAGTCATTTGGATTTGACCAATCAGCTCAGGGCGAAACGGGCTGTTTCTTGAAATTGTGGGGTGTTTTCTGAGCTTAACTTGGCGGAATTCGGTGGTTTTAGAAAGTAGGCCTTTGTGGATTCGTGTTCGGAAGGTGTGTCTTTGGAGGGTTACCGTCTCGAATTTTTCGATTTCTGTATGATCCCTAAGGTAGGGTGCGAACAAGTGAATGAAGAGAAAATTAGAAATCGGGGACTTTCTTTGTGCTTAGTCTCTCTCTAGGGGTTGTCGCAAAGGTTTTTGTGTCGTCCCTGAAACGGACATCGGTCATTTCGCACGCTGATCCCCTCCTCCTCTTCAGGAATGAACACAGTTTGCTGCGCTGGTTAATGCAAAGCACATGCATGTTTATGTAGTGTGTCCGTTGGTGTGAGATTTTTACTTCCTCCTCCCCCCCCCCTTCAATGCCAATTGATGATCATCGATGTTTGTCTCCTGGATGACCTCTTACTTTTCTGAATTCCTTCAGCACTGTTTCTTATTATATTCACCCATATCAAAGAATGTGAAGAAGAGGTTGGTGCGACTTCGACGATACTTGGGGAATTGTGTGTCGCTCCCTACATGGGAGCACGCGCTTTTCCTGCCGACTTGAATTCTCACTTGCCTGACTCATGACTGCCATCCAGAGCACACCAGCTTCAAGTCGGCAGGAAATGCGCGAGCTCCCATGTAGGGAGCAACGCACAATTCCCCACGTCAAAGAAACGTAGCATGTTGTAAGGAATGCAAGCATGGCAACATAATTATATCCGCTTGTCTCTTTCCCTTTGTTCCTTTTTGTTCCTGCAGGAGACTTAGGACTGGTTCAGTGTGCAGTTGTCGTGAGAACAGGCGACGTGTGGCTGGCCATCTATTGTCTACTGACTCAGCCACCCCACTCAGCCCTCCCACCTAGCTGTTCACGGAGATGGCTTTGCTGGGACGCCAAAGTAGCTTGCTACTTCGTTCTCTCCAAATGCGCTGAAGATGATCAAAATGTGTACTCTGGCGCGCTATGCCGCAAACTGAGCTGTTGTGAGTTCAGGCGAGAGACGGTGGCGTAATTCAAACCGTGAGTTGTGGATCCTGTTCTAATGTTTTGTCTATGGCTGTCAGCGGACAGCTCTCCAGCTGACTTTCGGGAGACGTGTCAAGTGCAGTTTTTTGCTTGCTTCTTTCTCAACTGTAAAGTAAATCTGTTGAATACCGATCTCGGGAATAACAACACAATCTCCAGATACATGTATAGCAAGCATCTGAGTGCATCATCACACCTATCTTATACGGACTTCGAAGTTATGGGCACCTCAGTCTACAGGGCACCGTGTGGGTTACTTTTCGTAGAAATATTAGTGCACGTTTACCATTTTGGTGGAAAACAGTGATGGTTTGAAATATCAATGGTTCTACCCCTCCCCCCCCCCCCACCCCATGAAACATATTCATGTGATTAAGAGTTATGGACGTTTTGGAGCAGAGTTATTGACTGTGCCTGGTACCGGACCGCACGCATAGGCGATATATACATGAAGGTGTACTTTCAACGTCGTTGATAAGGATTACTGGGGAACAACGACATCTTTCCGATGGAAACACGTGTATGTGTGTGCATTGTGCGTGTGTTGACTGTTTGAGCTGGTACATCTGGTGTTCATGATGAGTCCCTTATGTGGATACTGCACACTATGTAAATCTCGACTGATATCCTAGTAATGGGCCGCATGTCATCTTCTTTCTTGCGGGCGTGCATGTGTGTGTGTGTGTGCGTGTGTGTGTGCGTGTGTGTGTGTGTGTATGTGTGTGTGTGTGTATGTGTGTGTGTGTGTGTGTGTGTGTGTCCGTGTAAGGGCCGGCATGTCATCTTCTTTCTTGCGGGCGTGCATATGTGTGTGTGTGTGTATGTGTGTGTGTGTGTGTGCGTGTGTCCGTGTAAAGGGCGGAATGTCATCTACTTTCTTGCGGGCGTGCGTGTGTGTGTGTGTGTGTGCGTGTTTGTGCGTATGTGCACGCGCGTGCGTGTGTGCGTACGTTGATGTGTGCTTTATACGTCTACATGCCCGCGTGTGTACGAACATGTATGTTCCGGTTGCGTGGTGTTTTTTTGTCCAGGAGCAACATTGCCATTGAGGGAGAAGACTGAATGCATCGTCTACAGTAGGTGTCTGTAGACTGGGAGTCAGCTGATGTCAAGTTCATTGAATGGTGAACTTAGTCACGTGTTTAAAAAACAAGTAAACTGTAGTGTGTGATATGTTTCCGCTAATTTATCTCAAGCACGTCTCATTCTATTGTAGAAGACCATTCATCTTCTACATTGCGCAATGTCTTGGACAAATTCCCGCTGAGGTGCGGCGTTGTATGATGGGAATCAATGAAGATTACCCCTAGCTTTTTTTTAACGGTGCAAAACAAGGTATGTGCAGAGATTCGTACGCCGGTGGTGATAATTCAATGACTGCATTTTGACGTGGTGTTGCGACCGCAGCCTTTCACGTGCTAGGGGTACTTGACTGCAGATATGCAGTGTAAGTAGACAGAAACAACGAGTTTTATGTCTTAGATTGTTATCACAATTGCACAGCTTGTTTGAATTCCATTCTTGGGATAATTCTTGATCATGGTCCATGTAAGTGTGATTTTACCAACACACGTTTTAGCTTTTTCTTCATACTATATTTATACGCTCTTGTTCTGTTTTCGATTTACTGGTTCTGTTTTCGATTTTCTGGTCCACATGCCAGTTGGTGAGATACTGATCAAGAAGTGTGTGTGTGTGTGCGTATGTTTTATCGCTTTCTCTCGTCTTTTATTCCTGTTCATGTATTGGGCTGCATGTGCGTGAGGGGTGGGGTAGGACGATTGTAGTTGGTGGCGCGGATGGGGAGTACGTTAAAATGTGTTTGTGTGTGCGTACATGCGTGCGTGCATAAAAATGTTTGTGTTTGTCATGTTAGACGGCTTGTTTTACTTGAAACTTCTGAAAAGGAAATCTATTCAAAAAAATTAATGTTTTAGTGCGAACGTTAGTGCCGAAATTCGCACTCAATCTAGTGCTGAATCTGGACGATGGACAAAACCTTATTTTTTCCTATTTCAGTGTCTCGGCGTGACCTTTCGTGTAAAAGCATTGAATTTTGTTAATAGCGATTTTTTCAGTATTTCAGCCCTGAATTTCTCGCCGACAGTGAAAATTCTCTATCTGTTCTGTTTCAGCGCTTATTATAGCCCTAAAAGTCGTTTAAATTACAGCTCTCAATGTAGAGGGAGTGTAAATAGTTTTTTTCCTGTTTTAGCGCTAAAGTCAGCGCTAAAGTCAGCACTAAAGTCAGCGCTGAAATTCTCGCCGATTTTTGTCAATGGTGAAAATTAATTTTGTTCTTTTTCAGCGCTAAAAGTCGTGTAAAGTCGGCGCTTAAATTTTTTCCGCATTTTAGCGCTGAAGCCAGAGCTGAAATTCACGCCAATATTTGGCGATGGTGAACATTAATTTTGTTCTGGTTCAGCGGTAAGTTTAGCGCTAAAAGTCGTAAAGAGATCAGCACTAAGTCTTGTCGAAGGGATCTGATACATTTCCCCCTGTATAAAGCGCTAAAGTCAGCGCTATTTCAAGGTAAACACTGGAATCATGCTTAATCAAGCGCCAACTTTCCCACAATTGTTAGCGTTAAAACCAGCACTTGAAGTACAAATTTTTTTTTATCCTCACAGAATACTATTTTTGTCCAAATTTCAATTTTCTCAATAATATATATTGCTCGTCCCTGTCCTTGTACCGCACTCTTGGAGTACCAGAATTCGGATGGTAACTCTCGGCATAGCGAGAGAGAGAGAGAGAGAGAGAGAGAGAGAGAGAGAGAGGGATACAGATAGATAGAGCGATAAACATGCAGATTGGGAGACAAAAGGGAGGGGAAATGGAGAGAAAGAGATTAAGGAGCCTTTGCCATGCAAGCATACTATAACCACAATAGAGCCTAAGGAAAGGTTTGACAATTGCAAGAAACCTGATATGGATATTCGACACAATATAGATCAAAATGTAACTTCATCGGCCATCTGGAAAAGGTGTACAATTTGGGGTGAAAATTATTTGGCAGCATAGGCTGGAATGTCTTCCTCCAGATTTGTATGGAAATTAATAATATTGTTGCCAGGCAAAGGGAAAAGGAAGAGATAATTACTAACGTCCAGTGAATCATGCTGTTTTTAATAGCTGTTGGAAAGAGGTAAGCAGTTGGACTGCTGTACAAGCGTGCATGAGTCTGGAGAGAGTATCTATCGCTTCAAATTATGCCGGATATGACTCACCTCATTGCTGTAGTCTCTAAGTGCCTGCACTGCGCACTACACATACATTTACATGCCTGCCCTAAGGCAGCATATTGGAAACAAATGATGTGCTGCCTTTGAATCGTCCTCATGTGTCGAGCTCAGACTTGTGGAAAGCATGCTAACCTACAGCAAGCTCTGCTCCTGCTGGAAGTGAACACCACTGTGTGTATATTTCCCGGTATCATTCAGCTTAGATGAACAGCAACTGGCAGCTACACAACTTAGGCATCCGCTAGGCATTCGTTATGTCATTCTGCAGGACAACGGAATGCACACATAAAAACAAGTTTGACAGAAATATGATTGCACAGTTGAAACCTGATCACACACTGTGGCTAATGTTACATTGGAAGTAGATCAACTGATCAACAGTGATTGGTGTCACAACTTTTCTATTCACACTGGACTAAGGCTGCATTTACACGGAGACTAAACAAAACGAAAACAGAACGGAAAAGCGCTGGCCTCGAATAGTTTTCAAATCGTTTACACGAGAACGTCAAATCGTTTTGAACCGTTTACACGAACACGGAAACCGAGTTAGCACGTGCTGGCTTGGCACAAGGGTGACAAGTAACACGTTAGGTGGAGTTAACAAGCGTTGGCTGGCGCAAAGGTTGGATATTTCTCGCGAAATATAGTCCTGCACAACGGATTTCATGGCCGCGCTCCGTTTCCAATCGTTCTCACTGTTTTCATCGTTTACACGAGAACCAGAACATTTTGAAAATGGTTCAAAACACTTCGAAGTGTGTTTCCATTTCGTTCCGTTAAAGTATCGTTGTCGGGCGTTGTCATCTAAATGATAGTAGCAAACGCAACGATGTAGTTCCGTTTCGGTCGTACTTCGTTATCGTGTATACGCAAATCGTTGGCAATCGTTGTCATGTAAACAATAGTAGTAAATGCAACGATTTTGTTCTGTTTCGGTCGTACTTCGCTGTCGTGTACAAGCAAATCGTTGGCAGTCATTGTCGTGTAAACGATAGTAGTAAATGCGACGATTTCGTTCCCCTTGGGTCGTACCTTGTTGTTGTGTAAACGCAAATCACTGTCAATCGTTGTCGTGTAAGCGATAGTAGAAAACACAACGATTTCGTTCTTTTTCGGTCGTACTCCGTTATCATTTTTTTCCGTTTCGTTCGTATTTTTGGGTCGTGTGAACGCAAATTGTTGTCAATCGCTGTCATGTAAACGACAGTAGTAAACGCTGTCGCGAATGCGATCGGATTTATTCGTAGTCACGAGCACAATGCATGTATATAACCAAGAATTCACAGCTACGTATACATGTATCCTTGTTCAGTGCATGATTTGTACGTTCAATCACTCGCATCCCTTTGTGACACCCCTTTTTCACTTTGCATTTCGTTGCATTTCTAAGGTTCAATTCTGGGCACCCTTTTCTCACCTTGCAATTCGTTGCATTTCTAATGTTTCCGTTCCGGGCACCCTTTGATTCAGTTTGAACCCATGCACCTTGGCTTGCACACACACCGACATCCAACACGGACTGTGTGTACGACTATCGGCATCTTTGATGGCCTTCACTATCCATTTTCATGCTCACAGTTGGACTCGTTGCACCGTGCGTATCTTTATGTGTCACCTTTTCAGCTACATGCACGTGGAGCTGTTTTAGTTCCACAACTTGGTGCTTTTCTTGCTTCTCTTTGATTCTTCGCTACTCCTTGGGAGCTGATTTCGATGCGTTTGTATATTTATCGCTTGTATATTTCTGCTGACGCTGTACGCAAGACACTTTCACGGCACACTACTGCTACAGGCATACACTCCGACTCACCTATATTACGGAGCATCAGCAAATCGAATTTTCGATTTGATTATTCGAATGGCAAAAAGAAAATCAGAGAGAAAATTCGAATGAAAAAGAGGTTCAGCATGTAGCGCAGTCCAGTATTTTCGAATCGAGTTTTTTTTAGCTTGAGCAGTTGAGGACTGGGATTTTGGGATGTGCAATGAACGGAGTTGCTGTTGTTTCTCATTGCATTTGGGGATGACGCGAAGCGGCGGATGCTTCATCCGATTCAGGCTATTGGCGATAGGATCTCTCTTGGAGACCCCTTGAAAAGGCGGATCTCGGCCGAGCTCCTCCGCTATCCCTTGCATATCAGGAGATTTGCGGACGAATAGGTGAGGGTGGGCCCTACACTGCCTCAGCAGAATGAGATCCATGGTAAGGTCGACCCTCAAATATTTGGCACACTTTGAGTTGCCCTCTCCCTGCGGGGAACTCACGATAGACGCAGATGCCGAGACAACGCCAGCAGGGCTACTGCAGTACTGGGAGCAGGAGGCATACCGGGGCTGGTAGTTGGTGACAAAGCCATGATTCCAGGATACTTGAAATGAAACAAAATGCACACTTCATAAAACGTTTCACAGTTCGAGAGAGAGGAAAGCGTCAAGATTGACAAGAAGTCCGGACTACCGACTAGTACTTTAGTAAGAACTAGTAGCTACATGCGCAAGAATGAGTACTCGTAGTGCGCCGTGTACTAGAGCACGCGCGGAGCATTCGAAAAGTATTCGAAAAGTATTTTCTGTTTGCGGGCATTTTTCAGTCGAACAAAGCCCTAGTTTCGACTGATTGAGTGCTTTTCGTGACGATTCTCGAATTTCATTCGAATATTCGATTTGCTGATGCTCCGTATTATCGCTCTCCCCTTGTAAATATTCTTCAGTCTTGATTCACAAGAAAATTGGGCACTAAGGAAATATGGTCTGCTTCGAGTGGTTTATGTAAAAGGTATGTCCATGGTTCGCGACATTTTGGTGCCGAAACCCGGGAGAGTCGAGCGGCGACTCTCCTAGTATAGGAATTTGAACGACCGACGAACCATGGAAAACCAAGCGGCGGTGAGGGGCAAGCGCCAAAAGGCTGCTCGTCACCACAAGACGATCAAAGATATGGAAACGACAACGGGTAGTTTCCTCTCGGCAATCTCAACGGACATTGAATCGGATCCAGCAGCAGTCAGAGAGCTATGTCAACACAATTTCCAATTGGACTCGCATCTCGAGGCACTCGAAATATCGCTGGAAAAGTATACTGATTTAATTAACAGGTACGAAATAAAAGGGTCTGACGACCAGGAATTCAAGGAAAATCAAACGGAATGGATCGAACTAATGGATGAATTTATACGTGTAACTAACATTAATTTGGTGTCACTAAAATTCTTACAAATGGAATGTCAAAAAAAGGATCCGCAACCTGCAGCCACGGCAATGGCGGCAGGAACTACAGCAACTATAATGGATGACGACAAACTCGACAGACTGCTGTCGGAAATGGTATCAATGAATCAAAGCAATCAGAGCATCATGACAAATTTGACGAATTCTCAGAGTAATGCTAGCAATAAAACTGGTAACACGGTCAAATTGCCTAAACTGGAAT